TATCTATCTATCTATCTATCTATCTATCTATCTATCTAATAGAAAGAATAGACTCTTCATTGCCAAACGAATCTGGGCTTGTGAAGTGCGTGTAGCTCTATACATCTATTGTTTTTACAGTTTTTCTCAATTGCTTTGGCTCAATTCTCGAATTAAACTTTTTTTTTTCCCAAAACAATAAGTTCAGATCTCTGAATAATTAGCCAGTTTAGAGAATGTTAAGATTGTTTCGAAAAATGTGCTAAAGCAATTGAGAAAAACTGTAATTGCTGAAGAATAATTTTATTGCAAGATAATATTGGTCTTATGAGGAGAGCATTAATACTCAGACATAAAAAATTAAAATAAATATCTCTAAACCTACAGAAAATACTAACATAAATAGCAATAAAAGAAAAATGTCATGAAGAGGCAACACACAGAATATGTCAAATGTTGTCACATAACCACATTTGTATTGAAACGCCACGCGAGGGCGCACTTTCCCGCGCATTATCATTATATTCCCTCCAGTTATGTTTCAACTAAAATATACATTAGTGAAATTCTTTAGATAATATTTTAGTGTGCTTCCTGTGAGATGATCATAGTTTTATCGTCTCTCACAATTTCATTAGTAGAAGGAGTTCTGTTCTTTAATTGTAATGGCAAAAAGCAATTCACTGTTAATTAAGTGATGCTGTTTTTGTATGAAAGGTTTTTCTTTTTACAGTAAATACCCCATGATGGTGTAAGACTAATTTTCATGCCATGAATTATTGATAACTGATCAATAATATTTATATAAAGTTATATTAGCAAAAATTTATTATTTTCCTTTTTTTGTCTGTTTTTCATTATGACATCAATGTGTAAAATAAGTTACATTTTTTCTCAGTCATTTCTCAGATCACAAGTGAAATTCTACGCTTTCATCCAGTCACTAATGCACATCAGAGCAATATTTCATTGTTCTGAACAAATTGCCAATGCTTTAGTACATTCATGCAATTCATTGTGTACAATTGTCTGCTGTTTCCAAAATGATCAATTACTTACGTCATAATCAAAACATATTATCGTTCTCTGTTGAATAGTCTTTCCGCTCAAAACATCAAGGCATTAGTTCATTGCATAAGTCATTAAATGTAAAATAGCTGAACTAGTTTTCATAATTTGTCAAGCATTTTTTTCTATACCTCTCTCTCTCTCTCTTTATTTTTGTAAATGTGTCCTGAATTTAATTGAATGAATCTTGATTATCACAAACGAAAGGGAATGTAAAGTGTTAGATCAATCTGTTCTGTAAAATAGGTCAGATATGCATTTCACAAAGCTATAGATTTGACCAGCATATAGACAGAGCACAACACAGTGTACAAATTCTGACAACAAAGAAACAAACAGCCAAGAAGAAGAAGAAGAAGAAGAAGAAGAAGAAGAAGAAGAAGAAGAAGATTGAAGATGTGAGAGAGGCAGAAGAGGCAAAGGATGAAGTTATTATGGACCGTGTTCAATCATTCAAACGTCTGTAGACAGAACAGGTATGAATCAACACTGATTGTACTGCTATAGCCTACTGTAATGATTCATAATACAGTAGTCCACTTGCATTTTACATTATACAGTAGGCTAAATAAAGGGAGAGAGAGTCTTGTGTAACTGAGAATCCTGTCCAGTCTCTTGCAATCAATATCCCACATACAGTAATGTGTGCATTTGTACTGTTGAAATCACAGAGAAAAAGTCCGTTTGCATATGTCATGCAAACTGTAGCCACAGTGTACATACTGACAGAGTGTAGGCCTACTGTTATATTGACAACATGGCTAAACATTATGATTATTTTGTTCGTGAACAATGACACAAGGACTTATTCAGATGCACTGGTGCTCACTGACATACATACTTCTGAGAGATGATGAACTAAGGAATTTGAGAAAGTTCAGGCTTTTGCCGGTTATCCATTGAGTGGTGCTTTGAGAAATGCATTTATTGGTTTGCAAATGTTAAGGATGATTGGAGAAATGCCGTGGCTTTCGCGTTACACACGTCTGAAGCTCAAACTCTTGAGGACTGGAGTGCTAGAGAAGAGAGAGAGGGAGGAGCGGAGTTACGCAGAGACTCCATCACATCACGCAACATGACACTGTGTGCTTGCTCCGAACTGCAGGCGATTTCTGCAGAGATCTGAGGAGTCTGTGGCTCTGCTTCGCGTGCACTGGGTGAATACTCGGTGATGTGAGCGCGAGAGAGCGACGCTCGCGACGCGCTGCTGCTCCTGACGACGCGTTTCTGTGTCTGTCCGCTGCTGTTAGGATGGTCTGTGGAGTTACTCAGTCTGACACTGACCAGTGATGAAGAGTTTATAGCCCTGAGCTGGAGCACGCCACATGCGGGTATGTGGAAGAACTGATCACTCTGATAAAGTCACCGAATGAAAATAAAGAGTTTTTGCTTCAGAAAACAAGGCGCTGAGTAAAAGTGCACCTGTGCTTGTGTTCAGGGTCCTTCACATCACTTGGGTTTCAGCACAGGAGTGAAGGAGCGATGCTGGACCCCTGGCCTCTCGTGTTTGGGCACTGCTGGCTCTCCTGTCTTCTCTTGTGTCAGGTACGTCTGAAGGAAGTCCCGTGCTGATGTTTAGGATGGTCTATGCAGTGTTTAATAAAAAGAATGTTTAATTAAATCAGAGGCGTCAGACAACTTTTACTGGGTAAAATACAGCTGTGCTCCAGTAAATTATTTGATAAATCCTTATCTGACGGTGATGACCATATAACGACCAGAGAATCATTTCCCTATTATTATTATTATTATTATTATTATTATTATTATAAATCAGCTGTTTAGCATCAGAATTAGCGGTACCAGATTGCGAATGAATCACACTTTTGATCTAATCAGCTAAATGGGTCTGTAAAAGAGTCGGAAATCGATTTAAGTTTGATTCATTGGACAGTTCGCTCCCACACTGATTCCAGTTTCTCACATTTGTAAATCAGACAACACAAAAGCAAGTGCTGATTGAGGTGGATATTTATCTATGACCTATCATATGAAACAAAACTTTTAACTGTCAGTTATCAGCAATGAAGTACTGCAGGTAAAGACTGTTTATTTGGCACACTTTTTTAATGGGGGGCTCCAGAACTAATCAGAAAGAGCTTTATTGCCATAAGCTTCCAGTACAGAAAGTACAGACATAATGCAGACATATGTAATAAAATGAAATATAACACTATTAATAAAGAGAATAGACAGAATTATAAAATGTGCAAATGTACTATTTGCAGATGAAGAGTTTTGAGAAATGATTAACAGATGTACAGTCTGAGATGTGTTATGTGGCCTGGGGAAAAGCTGTTCTGGTGCTCAGTGCTCTGTAGTGCTGGGTGTGAGGGGTCAGGGGTGCTCCTTGCTCTTTTCCTCAGTTATTGGAGGTTAGGCAGGGAGCACCAATGATGCTCAGGTTGAACTCCCTCAGCTGGCGAAGGAAATACTGAAGCAAACATCTGACACTTATCGAACAGCTTGAGTGACTGAAGTTAAAATGTTCAATGACTTATTTTGCAAGCTGCAACTGTGAAGAAACAGGGAAAGAGACTGGAGCTGTGTGAAGTCATTAGCGCCAATCTCTGCAGATTATTCATCACAAACACCACTCACCACCTGCATAAGGATTTGAAACAAATACCTACATGAACGAATTTCTGAAGTCAGTGGTATTAATGAGCTCCAAAGCTTGTTTTAAAGCTGCAGCTATATACTGTAGACCTTATTTCCATACTGTACATTTTCACCCACACAGCCCATAGGAAGAGCTGAGGATCAGCGGTAATGTTTGAGTCACTACAGCACTGAAGGAGGTCTGAATCCTGATCCTCAGTGCTGGTTACTGTAGGATGGCCATTTCTGTAACACCAGACAGCAGGACACTTAGCAGGCCACAGTGAAGCCAGGATAAAACTAAAAATGATCCCAAACCTATAAGAAGCAACAGAAACTCTTCCAGAATCTCTCCGTTAAGGGGTGATATTTAAATGTTATATTTGCGTATATATTTACCTTTATGAAGGCAACTTTTCTAACCTTTTTTAAATGCATGTGCCCTCTTTCATTTACATTTCTTAAAATTTATTCAGTAAATACAGTTAGAATAAGACTGTCACTTGCAGGCAAGGATGAGGAGAGGCGAAGTGCAGCATTGTTTAATAGAAATAACCATAAACAAGGCAGAGAACACAGGCAAGGGAACACACAACAGCATGCTTGAGGTACAACCAAGCACAGAAACAGGGCTATAAATACACAGCCTAACAAGGGGGTGGAGCTAATGAATTGCCATGACAACTAATAGGGTTAACAATGGAAACAAACAAGGTAGGCAAATGAACAAGGGGGACATGAACTAAACACAGGAAACACTTCAACATAAAAGTCCTTGAACACAAAACAGAGAAGCACAAGACACACAAGACATAACAGAGCCAAGAGTCCAAGAGGGAGGTGTAGCAGCGTAGATCAGGGGGAGGGACGGAGGGCCAGGCCCGTGTGGTGGAAGAGGTGGACCAGAGAGAGAGCCAGGGGAGTAGGCCAAGCAGGGAGCCAGGGCGGAGCCGAAGACCACCACAGCGGTGCAGGTGGGACTGAAAACCACCAGGGCGGAGCTGATGGAAGTGAAGACCCTTTCAGCAGAGCTGAGGACCACCACGGCGGATCAGGCAGAAATGGAAACAGACAACACATAAAGGTTAGAAACGGCCCCTGTGGCCATAACAGGACAGGTAGTGTTCAGGGATGACCTCATAGACGGCTTTCTTGGCCATGACAAGACAGGCAAAGAGCTCAGAGACGGTCTCCTCGACCGTGACAGGGCAGGCTGAGTGTTCAGGGCAGGCTGGAAACGACGCCTCGGGAGGAGCTGGAGAACATTTACATTTAGTCATTTTGCAGACGCTTTTATCCAAAGCGACTTACAATTGGGGAATACATAAAGTGATTCTTCTTAAAGAGGCAAGCAGACACAGGAAGTGCTTGTAATACCAAGTTTTAGGCATTGTTCAAATAAGTACAAGATAGAAAGGGAAGGAATAAATAAAGAGAAAGACAAAAAATTTTTATTTTTTTATTTAAAGGGGTCATATGATGTTGCTAAAAAGAACATTATTTTGTGTATTTGGTGTAATGATATGTGTTTATGCGGTTTAAAGTTCAAAAAACACATTATTTTCCACATACTGTACATTATTGTTTCTCCTCTATGCCCTGCCTTTCTGAAACGTGTTGATTTTTACAAAGCTCATCGGTCTGAAAAGTGAGGTGTGCTGTGATTGGCCAGCTATCCAGTGCGTTGTGATTGGCCGAATACCTCAAGCGTGTGACAGAAATGTTACGCCCCTCACCATATTGTGATGCCCTGTCCGGCTGGAGTGACGAGACAAAAACATGAAAACCCATTATAAACAAGGCATTTGTTGCATCCAGTGGGGACATAATTATGGATTATAATGACTTATACTGTCTTTTTGCGTGTTGCGTTGCATCGCGCCGCGTAAACATGCAATGCAAACCTGCAAGATCGAGCGGTCTTTGCAATGTGGTCTTTGAAGGTCAGCTGGTCATCAAAGGTTACACCAACATTTCTGACCGAACTTGATGGGGTAACTGTAGAAGCACCTAGCTGGATGGTGAAATCATGCTGTAGAGTTGGAGTGGCAGGGAAGACAAGAAGCTCAGTCTTTGC